TGGGAATTATTTTACTTAAGATACGGGAAAACAAATGTCTATCGATGTAAGTCTGTTGAGAGCAAATTTTATGTAAGAACATAATTGAAACTTTGAAATTTATATTCTAGCTCTACAAGAACCGTGCTTTATGAATTAGTATTCAGATTAAAAGATGGATTTTTATAGAGTATAAAGTAGACATACAAGAATCAGCTGCAGTCTTTCCGCAGCAATGTTAGGTGATTCACAGAGACATGCTAGAAACTATCAGGAGGAACTACAGAATTACCTTCCTCTGAAGGAGAATTCTTAGCTCACATGCTTAAGCATGAAAATTTGGATAATTTCAAAATTATGTTGTCTGCGATGTAGGTGTCTTCAGGTATTCTAAATGTCTGAGTTTCCGTTACAGTCAGTGGAGATCTGCACATTTAGTCAGATGCCTAATCATGAGTGTCTGATGCTATTTGAGTTTCCTTGTTACTGAAGTAATGGCAGTTATGATGCAGTATCTACAAGAGGTTCTTACCCTTTTGAAGAGGCAGCTGAACACCAGGCAAGATACTCTAGTATATGAAATGACTGAAGACATCCAAGTTTTGGTAAATACATAAATTGCGTCCTTTCTGCATCGTATTATTGTATCTCCTTGTTTCAGTCTCTTTTGTTTGTATTTAGACGACTAGCACAGTCAAGGAAAGAAATATTCTTTTCTGTCTTTGTAAAGGTGATAACGTCACAGTCCAGCTAGAAGAGGACATCCAGGAGATAGATGAGTTAAACCAAGAGGTACATAAATGAGTAGACTTGAAACAGAGGTCTCCAAAGCTACCTGTGGATCATGTTTAATACTCGTTTTTATTTAGTTATATTAGGTTTTACATTCAGATTTATTGCCAACTTTCAAATTCACTGAAAGCGAGATTAAATAGACTTGGGCATCTAGTACCATTTTCCATTTTTTACTTGGTGGATGATCTTTTTGGACCTTCAGTTGCTAACTGAGAAGGGTGAAAATCTCCTGTAAGATCCTTATCTCCAACCACCATACAGATGTCCTTGATACCCAAAGAGTTGAAAATAAAATTGGGTGGCTATGTTTCAAGAACGGATTCCACACACAAGTGCCCCCCAGATGTCTTCTAGTACTGCAAGAAAAAGAGACTCAGTGCTTTTCATCTTTCTCTGTATTTTGTAATTGGTTTGTGTGCCTTTATCTTATCTCTTCTTATCTCCTCTTCAAAGCAAACAATTACAGTCTCTTCAGTCTCTCTGATAGGAATATTTTCCATGGCTCTGACCTGACTGTCTCTGATGCTTCTGAGTTTCCACTATATATTCTTTGAACTAGAACCACAGTAACTGAATAATAGCTGTTTGCTTCTATTGTTATTATTGTTACTGTTGAGAACAAACCATTGTTTGCATTACTATAATACTGTTGTAATACTTTGACACTGTTCTCCATGCTCTTCCTTCATTATGTTACTGCTTTGCTTTTTTGCCCACCTCTACACATTGACCACAATTCTGAATTGCACACAACCATGTGCACCTTCTCTGTCCACCAAATCCTTACCATTACAGTGGAATACATCTTACCTGAACTTACCATCTGAACATTGTAGGTCTGAAGTCTACACTAGACTAGAAACCAGTTGCATCTTAAGCTTAGGAAATGGGCAGAGCGTTATTTCAGGAAACACTCTTGAGGTTATGCATGATTTAATGCAATGGAAGTGGCCATTGTAAGGAGTTGAAGTGGTTTGTGAGAATCTGCTAGGCTGTTCTTATGAAGGAATTCTAGATAGGATCATGGATTACAAGGGCTTAGTGAACAGGAAGATGAAGAGAAGTTTTCAGCAGTCTAACACCAAAGCAAGACTTAGCAAAATTCTAACTATGAGGAAGAAGAAATAAAGGTAACATTGGGATAGTGCAGGGTATAGGTGATGTGCTGAAACAGAGAAAATAGGAAGGAGACATGAAAGAACACTGAAAAATAAATTTCTTTAAGTGCAATTGTGGCAATGAAAAATCAAACAGAGATACCGGATACAAAGGGAAAGATAGCGAAAGGTCAAGGAACAGAAAAGCAAATGGTGGAGCAGTCAGCAAAGAAGTAGCTGCTGAGAGCATCAAATAAGAACAAAGAGGCAGCTTCAGAATTGAGCCAAATCCTCACATCAGGTAGAGTAACATAACTCCATCATTGTCAACATACTCATTCCTGCAGATAAAGTGACTCTTAGTGTTACATTATTCTAAGAAACCTGTCCTTTTCATTAAACTATGTCATAATTAGCATGTTGATAAGTTGGGTTTTATGACAAAACGTATAATTCAGAAATCTTCATTCTTGCCAACGAAATAGATATTTAGATGTTTTATTAAACTTGATTAAGCATGTTTTCAAAGAACTTATAAAAAATTAACTTCTAGAAGTTTTCCTTCTGTTACTAAGTAACATCTGAACTAAATAACGTCTGAACAACCGGATGTTCCCTTTTCTTTTCTGAGCTCCAGCTGCTGTTGAAAGATCAACTTTAACCTATTTTTTCAGTTTATACCTTATCTTAGTGTTAAATGAGATTTGGTTTCATTTGAGTGATCTGCGTAATGAATCACTACTTTGTTGACAGCAGAGACAATTGGACAGCCATACACAAACATAAAACAAAATGCTCCATCTTCACTGAATCCTTCATGTAAAGGAGTTTTAGCTTAAGTGGTGACTGTTTGCAACCCATTATTATCCAGAGACACATTTTTCCACAACAACACGGGCTGATTCTCAAACATCCCAGAACTGAAGCTGTGTGCAGAAGGAATTCCATGGCCAATGTGAGAATCTGACCACGGAATTTGATACTTAAAATTGGAATAATGGTATGATGTCACTCTAGCCCTTGGGACATCATCAGATGTGTAGGCAAAGCCAGTAAGAGGTAGCATGCTTATTTCCAACACCATTCTTTCTGACTGTATGGTGGAGTTGACAAAAATAACATGATCTTACTAATAAAAATGTGCTAATATTGGAAATAAGTTTTAGCCAAAAATTTCAGATTTGGAAACCCTTTGATTTTGGCAGAAGTCTATATTAATCAATGCATGGAAGTGTGTATCTGTAGATGAGTGAGGAAATAATCATTCCACATGTGAGATATTCACAGTAGAACAGAAAGAGAGTGATAAGAAGTTAACAAATAACAGGAAAGAGGATACTTACCAGTAAACTGAAAAATTCATGAAGCACAGAAAAATGCTTTACTTAAAAAAATACATTGAAAGTGTTGAAGATTCCATGGCACATTTTAGATGAGTTATACATGTGAAGAGGACGTATGTGGTATTTTCCTGCCACACAACATTGCCCCAGATAAGTAAGGGTATAAGTATTTAATAATTTAAAATATCCCAAATATCTCTCTTTAAAATATTAATTTGATTCGAGTCACTTGTGTAATAATATACTGCTATACCGAGTTTAGAAAGGAACCTAGACAGAGGGTAAAAAGACTTTTCTTCTCAGAGGGCTTTTCTAAATATCAAGAGTTTTGGTATCATCAGTAGAATTGTGCTTTTTGATCAGCAGAATACTCAGGAGTATGGGTAAGCTGAAGACATTTCCACGATATAATACAAAGGGTCTTTAGGAATAAGAGGCAGGGTTTTTTTCTCAAATCTCTGTGACTCTTGGGCTGTCTTAGAATTTAAAATCACAATCACTACAATAACGTTTCTAATTTTGAAAATGTTTTTACCCTGGGAAGGAAAATGAACCCACCACTCATGAAGGCTATATTTACGAAGGTGACCAGAAAGTGAATAGCCTTTGATGTCAGTACCAATAATGTGAATGACATGTCCCCTTCCTTTCTAACTTTTCAGAGCCTCAAGCCGAACAGGTGCAGTTCACCATCCAGTAATGAAATTTATAACCTGGTCTGTATATAGATTAAAGTTCAGTCTCCACCTGACAGTCCTATCTACTATCACTCTTGTGGCTGCATACGTTTCGTTATCGTTGCTGGTAATGTCATGCAAAAAGTATTGACTCGGGGTTTTTCTTCTTCCTTGTATAGCATCAGCGCCTTAGTAAAATGAAACAAACAAAAAAATCTGTTTCTCGTCCTCAGATGAGACATTGAGTAAACCTAACTATTTCCTTAACTATCATGTGCAAGCGCAGTCCATAGAGCCTTCCTGTGACCCTCAAGCAGCTAGTATGTCACAGGGGGCATCTTCTGCAGTATTAATTACCTAACATTAGGAGAAAGCTAGTAGTGAGGGATTCCTGTGCTCTGTAAGGCAAAGTAGTCCTTTTATGGTTCTATTCTCTATTGCTAATATAAAGACAGAATTTTTTTCCTTATCTAAGCACAACAGTGCCTTGAAAGGCTCAGGAATCATCTAGTAAAATTCCATGTAGTATTGTGTAGAAATTTGTGTTGCACAATATCCATAAGTTAAAAATACAAAATTTGTGAATCAGCTCAGACGCTGAGTGAAGGAGACCTGTCAGACTCTTTGACTTTGAGTGATTATTGAACAGCTCTCAAAAGCAGAAAGAAAAATGAACTGCTCAGAGTGGTGGAAAAATGAGGTCCCAAAACAACTGGAAAAGATTTCAACATTATTCCTCAGTGTATTTGTGTGCAGCAGAAGCCAGCAAAAAGAAAAACAGCAAGGCAGTAGTTCTATAAATGATAATTCTTACATTCGAAGCTTCCATTCAATTGAAGTGCAGAAGGCTAAGTATTTAGCTGTAGTGTGCCTGTTTGAGGAACATGTTATTCTGTAAAAAATTAACATGTGACAGATAAATATTTGAAAAGAAGCATAAAAAAAAGGAAAGAAACGGTTTGCGTGTTGATGAACTCAACTTGTAAGTCTGGAAAACAAATTGAGTCTCTGAGAAGTGGCCAGATGCAGAGATGAGGAAAAACATCATAGAAAGCACAGTGGTGGTGTGAATTAACTTTGGGAAAGCAGTTGGAATTTTGCAGGCAGAGATGGCATCCTGTGTACATGAAAGCCTGTGGAGACAGCATGAGCTCTGGCAGTATGAAGATGATGGAGGATTGAAACCATGGGAGAGACGAAGCAAAAAGGTGCACAGATTTTCAGGCTGGAGTTCTCCAAAACCATGGTTCACTGAACCACTTGTGTCATGACACTCCCCTGGAATATGATATTTTGGCAGGGCTGGCAATACTGGAACATTACAACCTAGACAAAAAGGATGAAAAAAATGCCACTGGTTCAGTGGAAGTTACTGGAAGATCAGCGTGTAATTTTGCTACAAGAAACCCCTGGATTGTCATTGTGAAAATAAATGGGTTATTTCTTAGTATTACCTTTTTTGCAGCTGCACTGAACATCAGTACCAGAACCAGTGTTATTAGTACTAAAAGAAACAGTAGAAGATCAGTCTTCCAGTGATGAACTTAGAATGGAGCATTTGAATGGAAAGTATGGGTAAGTAAGAAATTGGAAGAAACGAAAAAAACATGGAAAAAATGCTGATTTAGAAATACATTAAGCACTTCACAATTTCACCTTGTTGATGAGAGACAATAAAGTAGAGGTTTGCAACATCTTTGTAGGAATCTCTCAGCAGAATTCAAAACTAGATTTAGAGATCCCAGTCTACCACAGTTCAAAAATACATTTCTTTGCCTAGGGACAAAACAAAATGAAGGAACTGGGTATGTTTAATACTTTGAAAGGAGAGTGTGAATAAAAGGTTCAACAGAATCAGTAAATTTTCTTGTTAGTGTGAAGACAGACCCTTTGCCCAGGAATGGACTCAAAAGAACTAAATAAATATGTAAAAAGGAAACATTTTCCACTACCTACAAGGAGAGAAATTCTGGAGGAGATGGCTTATGCCAAATATTTTTCTACTCTTGATGCCTCAGCAGGCTTCTGGCAGTGGTTCTTAGACAAACAGAGTGTATGTTTATGCACCTCCAACACCTCCTTTGGGAGACACGGTTTCCTCCAATTGCCATTGGGTTATACTTAGCTCCATAGGTGTTTTGCCAGAAAATACAACCATTTTTTCTGTAATGAGGGACATGCTAAGACCTAAACAGATGACACTGTGATCTGGGAAACACAGTAGAAGACTAAGACCAATGTTTCCAAGGAGCTCCCAAAGAACCCAAAGTGCTGGGCCTTGACCTGAATGAATAATAGCACTAAGAATACGAACACTGTGTAGTGAGTGTATTTCTTAGAAAAGAAAAGAAGAAAGAAGGAAGAAGAAGGAGAGAAAGGAAGATGAAGGAAGGAAAGAAGCAGGACAAAGAGAAGGGAGAGAGGGATGGAAGGGAAGGTACACAAGGATTCTTTGGAATATAAGCAACTTCATACCAAGTGTAATTGCCTCCTTAAACTCTCTGTATTGTTGTCTTGCAAAAGTCATTGAGTAAAAATGAGATGCAAAGCTTAATAAAGAATCTAAATGAGTTAATTGAAGAGGACCTTATCCTAAGACAATGCAATGACAAATACAAAATTTCTAGTGGATGTGTCCAGTGAAGATGTTACCACATGGGGCCAAACTCTTTTCAGTGGTGCCCAGCCACAGGACAAGGGGCAATGGGCACAAACTAAAGCATAGGAAGTTCCGTCTGAACATGAGGAAGAACTTCTTCCCTCTGAGGGTGACGGAGCACTGGAACAGGCTGCCCAGGGAGGTTGTGGAGTCTCCTTCTCTGGAGATATTCAAGGCCCGCCTGGACAAGGTCCTGTGCAGCCTGCTGTAGGTGACCCTGCTTGGGCAGGAGGGTTGGACTAGATGACCCACAGAGGTCCCTTCCAACCCCTACCATTCTGTGTGATTCTGTGATTCTGTGAGTCTAGCAACCAAAGCAGAGCATTGTCTGGAGCACTGTGAGGATCTGGGACTCTCACCTTTGGACCTTTGGCAATTTGCTCTGACTTTCTAAACCGTTTGCCTCAGCTGCTTGCTACAGACTATATAAATGGAGGTCTAAATCAGAAGGCTCATTCTCCCTCTGAGGCGGTAGGGAAGAGGTAAAAAGGGGAGGGAAGGAAAAACAGGAAGAGAAAGAGTAGCAAGAGGGTTCAGGGCTCACCATGGGCCCTGTGCAGCTCTTGCTGCTCTTGCTGCTGCTCAGCAGTGGCGTTCTCACACGTAAGTACTGCCTTTTATGCTAGTGCTTTTTGCTGCTTTATTTATGAACCTGTGAAAACAAAAATAATACAAAAATCAACAGGACAGTGGCTCATAGAATTAGAGAGGGTAAGTGTGGCAAAGATGTAATCTCTTCACTTTGTGGGCTGTACAATCGTAGAAAAAGTCACAAATGTTGCCTGGGGTCTTTTGATTAGATTTAATGTAGCTTGGAGATACCACACAGATTTGTCTCAGCTGTTGCTAACCTAGTTTGCAGCGAGTGTGAAGATGGAGAGCAGTAAAGCAAAATGCATTTGGCAGGCAATACTGACATTTAAAATACAGCTTTGTGTTAAAGGGACAGAGTCATCAGTAGTAGTAGTAAAAGAAGTAGGCTGGTAGAGTTTTTTTTCCTAAGATCAGAAAAGTCAGCCTAGATCAATGTGGTGCTGTGGACTGTGAGCTATCCTTGCTTCCCAAGAAGTGGCTTTTTAGAATATGACACTTTGTGTTAGTTAAGACTTCAGGAGCCTTAGGGAGGAAAGTGAGTCTAGGGCCAATTATGCAGGTCTGGTTTTATATGCAGATCGAATTCATCATAAATACACCTTTGTTGAACTAATATTCTGTTGTTGACACACAATTTTAAAGGATGCTCTTGTTTCTAATGGTCATTAATGTTACTGCTGTTACTATTGTAATAGTTATACTACTGTTGCTATTGCTGTTACTATAACTGATGTTACACTCTATTTCTATATAGTGGTCAACCTTAGAATTCCCAGAATGAAAACTTGGAAAGTGTGCAGAGAATGTTGTGAAAAGTGATGGCATTCATGTGTAATATCCCAAAGAATGACATAGCATCAGATGAATGCAGCAAATTTTGATTTGATTTGATTTGATTTGATTTTGCTTTTATTTTAAGTAGACTCATATGGGACATACCCAAGACAGATTGGAGCAAATTATTCTTCCTGACTTGAATAGGCTTCCAGTCAGTGTCCTTTTCCTTCAAAGAATGAACTCTTAATAATCAGAAAATATTTAATAGCAGAGAATTGTAGTATTCTCAAAGTTGTCCTTCTTTAAATATACAAAAAGCAAAATATAGCCATTCATCCATTATGCAGTGTTTTTGTGTGCTCAAATAGACTAAAATTTTGAAGCAAACCGTGCTGTATGGTACATTACATCTGTCTACCTCTGTATTTTGTGTCCATCATTTATAAAGTTTAGATTTCATGTAATATAGAGCCTTTAAAAATACTTACTATTCTAGAAGCTGATCATTCTCAGTTTAAATCAAAATAATTTAATTCAGTGACTTAAAGATCTTATTCTGAGGACTTAGTTCACAATATCAAGGCAGCTACTGTAACTCCCTTAAGATTTGACTCTGTATTGTCAGTGTTAATAGTAGCTTTATTTACAGCAGCGTGCCAAACTACATCAAAAATTGGTATGAATTATAAAAGTCTTACAATGAAAATGTAGTATGTCCATTTATATTTCCATAACCTGTACTTTATAGCTAGAAACTGCTTTTCAAGCCTTTAATTCTTGTTTTTGTTCTTTACAGAAGAAGAAACACCTGAAAGTGGAAACCCAGGATGTTCAAGTAACTGATTTCTTGCATCTGCTTTTGTTATCTTATGTTGCTGTATTAACTGAATACATATTTGAAAGCTTCACTTTTCCTATTCGATAAATCTCTTCCTCTGAAATAAGTGAAACAAAAGTGATGGCAATATTCTGAAGTTTTTATTGCCATTTATTTTAGGTATTTAATTATCCATAAGGCTTGGCTCAAAGAATTTCAAAAGTTTCCTAAGATCAGAGAAGCTGAGATTCAGTTTCTAAACTTTTAGAAAAGCTCCCATTAAGAAACTACTTTCCACTGTTTTGTTTTCTTCTTAATTCTCAGGTGCAAGTTTCTTAATCTAGGAAACCCTGTTTATCAGATGTGAAGCTTTAGCAGTGAGATTATGTACATTACACTTTACCATGGGCTGAATCTCACTTCTCATTTACCCTTCACAGAGGCTGCTAAACCCACAGAACTGCACTTGGATATCTAACTAAATACCTGTAGAATAAATAATCAACTCTGTCAGCAAGAACAGCAATTTCTTTAAACCAGGACTCAGGAAATGCTGACTTTATGCCCTGTCTTTATAATGAACTCTGACTGGCCCTGACTGCTTGGTTAGATACATAATGTTCCACCACAGGGTCAAAGTACCCAATGGGTTGTTTTGTTTGTCCCTTTGGATCTTCGGGATTTTTTTTTTCTTCCCTCGTTGGATACTTCAGCACCATCTCCAGGCATTTGGGTTTATTTCAGCTGCCTAAACCAACTCAAAGACTTCTGGGCTTCATTGCCAATTTCTTGTGTATTTTTGATATCATAAATTATTTGGTATTTGCATTTCTAATCTTATCATTTCCCTATTCCTTTTCAGTTTATTTCTGTTTAAAAGAAGGAAATGAAGCAATAACTCGCCTTTTGGCTTTAGCATAGTAGATACTGGTGTTGCAAAAATTTCTGAGAATGTACAGTTAATCAATGTTATAGTCTAGCATAGCCAAAAATGACAGAGATAGCACTGGATTTTTTTATAGCAGTTAATTTTAAGGTTAATTAGATAATTCAGTTTTCAGATGTTTGTAACATGCTGATTACTGTATGATAGCTAGTATTAATTATATTAATTCTGTTTAGCAACTACATTAAAATAGTCTCAGTTATAACACTAATAAAGTATGTAAAGCTTTTAAAAGTGATAGCCCAAGGAGGAAATAAGAGATTTATAGAACTATTCTGTTTTCCTCTCTAAGTATGAAATTCTGTGATATAAAGGGCAAGATAATGTTGCCATTGGCCTCTGACATGACATTTGTTTTCTAAAAGAGGAGGAGTAAGCTATGTTCATGGCAGGTATAGGCAGGCAAAATCACACAGGTTTGATGATGGCCGTGTGGGTTTACACCGAGATGAGTTTAACTCTTTTTTCTATAAAAGTAGATCAGGATTCTAATATGTTCAGACAGTCACAAATAAACATAGAGGAGCAATTTCGGAAACTGCTACTCACTCAGCATCACAACAGCATGACAATCCCAGTGAGCTGCTCAGTCTAAACAGAGGGAACAGTAGCTGCTGGTTCAGATAGACCTGAGCTGCTCTAACACAGACACTTGAAATGCCTGATCATCATATGTTTAGTTTAACACGATGTCTGCGGTTAGAATGAGAGTGAATTGGAATTGAGGACATTGGTTGGCCTACATTATGCATTCCAGACACCAAAAGAAGATCTTATATCCCTGTATTTGACACTGAGACAAAATATTTTTAATTCTTGTCTCTTTTACCACGTTCATTCCTGAAAAAAAAAGATTTAAAATCACAGATGAATTGGCTCTGAAAGCAACAGGAACAGATTAAACACAGGTGAAATTCATGCCTTTGAGGAAGCACATTAGGTTTTGGGGCTTCCTTTGATAAAAAGAGAAACACCTCTGCAAATACTTCCTCCTGCCTTATTCTTACTCATAACTTAGTGCTTTCGCCTTGTTCTGGGTGCTCTTCATGTAACTGAAGTTTAATTCCATTTAAAAGAGTCTACTCTAGCAAAATTTGCTGATCTAATAAGTGAATTAGACCAGATTGTATTTCAGGAGAGTCTGGGGCAGAAAGATACTCTGTAGATTCAGATGAAATGGTATTGAGGAATGCTAGTTTTGGTGTTCTGTCCCTTTCTGTGTTTATTTGCTGTTAGTCTCAGTCATGTGACTTAGATAAGCAGCTCCTTACATTTGACTTATGATGGAAAAATCTGAGCTGAAATGAATCGTTTTATTACCAATTTGAAAACTACCATTTGATTGGTTTAATTTAGAAGCAATAGGGTAATTTTTAAAACAGTTTCACATCTGAAGTTTTCTACTGTTTTTATCATTAACTTTAATGGGGCATGGTTTGAAGGCCAGATGGGGTCCTGTTGTCAGGTCTCATCAAACAGAATAGCAGACCCCAAAACTTATGTTTCCTCCACCAAGTTTTGTCTTACATTTCAGAAAGTATCCAACTGACGTGAAGACATTACTTCTTTCTCTGAAAGATATTCTGTAAAAGAAAATAGTGGGAGGGCCCTCATGCTTCCTGTATGTGTGGCATTCATTTTAGTTACACCACACTAAGTGTGTATTGTAAGGATCTACATTTGCATTTCCTACCCAAGTCATAAAAGCACTGTTGTGTTCCTAATTGCAGAAGATGCAACCAGATTTAAACACCTCAGAAAATATGTTTACTTATACGAAGCAGAAACGTCAAATGGGATCACGGGAACAGCAGATTCTCGAAGCGGTTCAAAGATCACTTGCAAGGAAGGGCAAGCGGCGGAAATACAACCAATTGAACTACTAAATAACATGGGAGCTGGAAGCTGAGGAACGTCCTTCAGTGTTTTTCCAGTCAAGGAAAGGCACATGTTGAGAGTCCTGAAGATAAGCCCATGCTGTCCTAGATAGAAGGCACTGAGGATGACAGAAGTCCTTCATACCACTGTACCAGTGCATTTCCATCCTGATCTGGCTGTACTTTTACACAAGAGAGGGGGAAGACCTGGTAGTTCAGTTTTCCTTAGCTTCCAGGCTGAGTCTACCAATGTTTATCAAACAATTCTAGAAGTTGAACTGAGACAGCTCATTGATGCCCTAAAGACTACTCGATAGCCCCTTGATGGTAACAGTCAAGCCAGGATCAGGGCTGTAGGAGTAGAATGTCCCCACGTTCCTCCATCTTGTTTGTTCCCATCATGGGTGTTTTTTTTTTTCTGAAAGGGAGTAACTGGGGAAAATATTTTTTGTTTAGCACACACTGTTCCGACAGAGTCTAAACATTGATCAGTGTAATGACTCACGTTTTCTTACAATTCTTCTAGTACTATATGTTTTCAGAACAAAAGCTGTTTGCCATGTGTATAGCATATTTCATGCCATTAGCCAAGCAAATACCTGCTTTCATATCTTCTCCCTGAACTTACCTTAAGCTATTTAGAGTACTTTGGAATCTTTCCCAACAGCTGCCAGCAGGGTGATTCTGACACTTTACAAAACCCAAGGAATACCGTATTTTCAGAACTGTAACTGGATGATCCTGGAACCATAAGAATAAAAAAGGATAAACATATCATGTTTGTATTTTCAGGTTGAACTGGAGGTGCCACAGCTGTGCCACTTCATGCTGAGGACAATGCATTGCTCCCTGAGGGAGACATTTGGTGTTGACACTGAGGGGAGGGCCATGCTGAAGAAGTCAAAGAACTCTGAGGACTTTGCAAATGCCATGTCCAAGTAAGCAATATCAATTATTATCAATACTTCTACCCTTAACATGGAGCAGGCTGCAATGTTACAGTCTACTCTATGTTTTTCTAGGAATAAGACACATTTCATGATAACATGGTAGATTTATAAGCTGATTCCACAGCAAAACTCTCCCTGATATAATTTAGGGCTAACTTGAACTTTTGGGTAGTCCCCTAAAATATTGTTGCAAGTGGAATGTTCTGTCTGGTAAGCAAATTCTCAAATGGCTGTGTGCAGCCATTTTAAGATAATTTTCTTTTGCTGACATAGTACAAAGACTGTGCAACAGAAAGGCATTTAAGACCGAAGTCCAGATTTCCTATCACAGTCTTTAATGACATATGCAACTTATCTTTTCCTTACTTATCTGCTTCCGTAACTTATTGCTACTACTCCCTCCACCCAACTAGTCTCTACCGCTCACGCATGTTTTACTCATGCACCTTCGTGCTTGTTTCAGTGCTTCAGTATCCACTCCATCTTGTTTCACAAGCCATGGATCTCAAACCAACTTGAGACAGTGTTAAAGTTAGTTTTTCAGAAATCAAGGTTTTATTTAAAGACTGAAACTAATAGAGAATCCTTACCATCATTTTGTAGCCTATTGCAGTAGTTAATAATTGCCTCGTTCTGAAAATTTACTTATCTCCTCTCTAAATTTGTGCAATTCCAGCTTCCGGCCATTGCTCTTGATATTTGCTTGTCCTTAGATGACGTAGTCTGGTGATATCAGAATGTCCTTGGTTAGAATTTTGCTGCTTTAATAGTAGTACTCTCTAACAGTAGCAAAAAGTTGAATAGTAAAAAAAGCGAGTAGTAAATAATGATAGACCAACATAAACATGCTTTAGCTATAGCCCAGCGCTTTATCGATAACATATTCTTCACTGGGTGGCTTTAACGTGATTTCATGCTAATGTTGGGGTTTTTTGGGGCAGGCATGAGCTAAAATTCAGCATTCAGGATGGAACAAAAGTCAAGCTGTATCCAGAGAAGGATGAACCTCTGAATGTACTGAATCTCAAGAGAGGGATCATCTCAGCTCTACTTGTGCCAACAGAAACAGTAGAAAACGTAAAAACAATTTCAATGGTAGGTGTTTTGAAAGCATTCCCTTTATTTTCTTTAACAAATGGAAGAAACCTCACCTAACAGAATTACTCCTGAACATGATTTTCAAAAGACCTGGAAATTCAGATGAGAAAGGATGCCTTTCAGCTAGGTCAGAAAATGTCTGACAGCATGAACAGACATAGATTTCTTTCTTCTTTCCAGGATACTGTATATGGAAAGTGTGACAGTGAAGTTGAATTCAAATCTAGAAAAGGAAATGTTGCAGAAGATATTTCGATTAACAGGGACCTGAAAGCCTGTGACAACTTCAGTCCCATCAGAGATTATGTCAGCCCTATTGCCATTGTAAAGGGACTAGTAAGTATCCCATTAAAAATTACATGATATAACATTCTTCACTACATCACTTAAAATAATAAACTACTACAACAACTGAATTTTGTATTTATCTTCTAAAAGCTTAAATAGGTTTACTGCACCCTTGCATTAGATCATACTGTGGTTTTGTTTGCAGTCAGTACAGAAAAACAGATGTAGAGAAAGTGTAATTACCTTCTTTCATGTTGTTCTCATTATTTTTTAAAGGAGACCTTTTAACAGATGCAGTTAATACTATTGGTTACGTGAGAACCCATCACATCAAATCAAAATTTTTAGTTTTGTGGGTCAAAATTTTGAACATTCCAATTTCATGTAAAACACGTAGTCCACCAAAAGCCTGATGTGTGTATGATGTGCAGTAGGAGAGGGCTCTAAATGCCCTGAAGTAAATGGTTTGACATGCTGTTCAGGCTACCTGTTAATCCACAAGGATCAAATGCACTTGCTTGTGTGAATATTGGCAGATTTCTTCCTCATATCAAGGCATCTGCTTTTGAGTGTTTTCCCTCAAAAAGAAAACAATTAGGATTTCATATCATGCTAAAAACACATTTTATACTTTCTGCCACTTCTGCAGCTTGTTGTAGACATTTTTAAAATTTGTATAATAACAGTGACATTACAAAGAGCGTCAGCTGTTGCGAGGAGCCTGAACTACTCTAAATATTACAAACTGGTTTCTATGAAGGAGTCCTTTGTTGTAGGCAGCAGGGGATCAATCATGAAGCAACCACTAAGCCAAACACCTCAGTAAGGCCTGAGGGAAAATTTCAGTGGGATTTTTGCCTGTGAAGAGACTGAGGACTAAAGTTTGATACTGGCACAATTTTGTCTTTGTGTGAGAATGATTCCAGTTATGCACCTTTGTTTCCAATATGCTGTAACTGTTAATATTATAGTAAAACTGTGGCAGCCTTTAAAACTGTTTGTTTCCTATACTATTCAGTAAAATGACTGCCAAACTATTTATTTTACAGAACATGCCATTATCTACCCTTCTAAAGAGCACTCAGTTCTGTCATTACAACATTGATGCAAAGAAAAGGCATATAAGAGATGTTGTCTGTAGTGAAAGACACCTGTTTCTGCCTTCCTCATACCGGTAGGTTGCTCACTATTTATCATCACCCTTTATTTATAAATGTTCATTTTAAATGGTGATGTATCACATTCTGCCCTGACTTCATCCCCACATATGCATTTTGTTCTCAAGAAGGCAGGAGGCATGGCAAGACCCTCAAAAGTACTTAGACTCAACTAAAGCACTGAATTTTTCTTTGTTTGCTAGAAATCGCTATGGTGTGATGACAGAGGTCAACCAGACACTGAAGCTTGAAGATACCCCAAAGATCAACAACAGAAATTTTGATGGAGGTATAGCTGTAGTTCTCAATAAAACAAATACAGGGTCAAAATATAAATACAGGTTAAATACAGGGACAGGTATCTTTTAAACAGTGAGTCACTTAAAGATGCAGTTGAGGGGACTAAATAATTTATTATTTTTAATGCAATTATTTGATCAGTTTAGTCAGGAAAAAGGTTGGTGTATAAAATGGGATAACCTGAAAAGTTTAAAAATACTGCAATTTTAAATAATGGTAGTATTTTCATTTTAATTTTGAAATTTATTCTTTATAATTGAGAATTTTTAATTTACTTGAGAAATAATTTTAATCTTATTGGAAATTAGTTTAATGAACCCTTTTTAGCTAACCATAATGTCTTAAAGCAACTTCTAGCTTCAGCTGCCAAATGTAAACAGTCCATAATTAGTATATGTTTGGTTTTGAAACAACTTTTTTGACATGCAGTTGTTGTCCTAGTCATAACGTATTCCTTCTAAGATATATTCATTAAAAGTTAAAAAAAAGCAAACTATGCTAATATAAAAGGTGTTAAGGAGACATCCTCATGAAATTTTTAAAGCATTTATGCAAATAGGTATTGTTTAAATTTGGGAGAGTTACATTTAATTTCCACTCCATTATTTTTAGAAACTGTTCAGCTGTTAAACTTCAACAGTTATCATATAAAATAATCTATAGAGTTTGTATTTATACTGAATGTGTGACAGAAGTTAAAAATGAACATATGAACATAACTCCTTGATAAAGACACAAAGAGTGCCATTTTTTTAATTGCTAGATGAACTGGAAGAGAAGGGACTTGCACTGGAAAGTACAGATGCCAAATTTCCCAGGCAGGGGGATGCTGTTCTGAAAATCCTTCAGGAATTGCAGATACTTACAGCCTCCCAGCAGAACCAGCAGAGAGCAAGACTCTTTTACAGATTTGTTTCTGGACTGAGAAGTTTACATAACACCACTCTTGGCTCTCTTGTACCAAAGATGATGGAAACTTCAAGGTATGTTACAACAGTTCATTGTGCAAGTACACCACATGACAATGCCATAGCAGATTCTAAAGGTGATGATTTGCTGCAAGTGGTCTTAAATCAGAGGTTGATTAGATGTAAAGAGTGTCTTTCAGAAAGATAAATATCATCAGAATTATCTGGAGAGAGCAATCACGAAGAGAGGGTAAAACCTGTGGCTTTCACATTTTTTCATCAGAAATTCTCAGTTGTTAATTGGAAGTTGAACATTAAATATATGAGAACAGTGTAAGAATTCAAATAGATCTGAAAGTTCTAGCTTTTGATGAAGAACTAATATTGTTTTAATCGTTCCCCCATCAAGTCTTCCAAACTTGCTGGAGAAGCTGAGCCATAAATTAGACGATAACACAGCCCAGTTACAGGGATTTTCTCCCCACCACCATCCCAAGCGTGTATGCCAGATATAATCCTGTGGATATGTTATTATAGCCAAATATCTTTCATGCAGTTTTGCTCAAGGACAATGACTAGAATTCCAAACTCCCGAGTCTTACTTATAGCAAAGAACACAGTTTTGAAAGGAAGATTTTTGGAGACATGGAAGGGCACAATTCTTTGATCTGACCCTGCCATCCACTCCCCACCCTTAGTCTTCTGTCCTAGCTGGACTTGAGTCAATTTACACATACTTTATGCCCTCGGTCTGCAGAGGGACTAGAGCCTCAGTCTGGTTCAATATTTATATTATAATGCTTAAAGTTGTGAAAAAGTTTCTTGTGGAGGAAAAAAGATATGTCAGTGTAATTATGGCATTGTTAATACTTTTTTTCAGACTAATACTGTTTTTCAGAGCTAATCAAGTTATTAAAATAACTTGTAAAACTAAGCAGCTTCTTTCTGATAAGCAATTGTGTGATTTTATTACAGTCATGCATAAACATACATCATTTATATTAAAACTCCTTAATAAACCTGTTAAATGTTTATTTCAAACATGCAATATGCAGCGATAGCTACAAACAGGGAATTAATTAATTGAAGTCATCTCTTTTCCTTTCAGTTCCATCACAGTTCAGGCCCTGACTCAGTGTGGGACTCCAGAGTGCTATGGCGCAGTCCTTCAAATCCTGAGAACTGGAAACGTGAATCCGCTTGTGGTAGACCTGGTCACATATACCCTGGGACTATTGCCTTCTCCAACTCCAAAAAGAATACGGGAAATTCTGAACATGGCCCAGTATCAGCCAAGTAGAGCTACTTTTTATGGCTTGAGTCATTCTGTTACTAAGTAAGTGATGATAGCTTATCATTGTACAAAATAACCTCAAGGAAACATTGCAATGCTTAGAGTAAACCCTAGGAGTAGTCACTTTTTGAGGATTTTTTTGTTATTCTCGTGTATTTGGTCTTTGGGAATAAAAAATAAATAGACATTTCCCATTTTCTCCTTTTGTTTCTAATGTGTTTCTCTGTTTCTTTAGATTCTACAATGAAAAGGTGATTGTGACAGAGGAAATAATAGATGTTGCAGACTTCATGGTATCACTGCTTGGCACTGATTGTTCTGGGGAAGATGAACTCACATACCTCACACTTCGGGTATTTTTATTTCCTTCTTTCCTTATGCAGGCTATTATTTTAAATTTTAGTGCATATATTACTCTATTTCTTTTGGTGGAGAAAAAAATGTTTACCATCTTTCTGTGTTTTCATTACTGACAGGCTATTGGAAACATGGGTGCAGTAATGGAGAAAGCTAAACCCAACGTGAAATCTTTTCTAAAGACATGTATCAGAAACGAAGCTGCATCGCTTTCAGTTCAGAAAGCAGCCATCCAGGCATTCAGGAAAATGACTATTACTGAAGAGGTAAACTGGGTCACAAGAACGAGCATAAACTGTCTTCAGTTCACCTTGACTGTTCACAGAAGTTATTGAATATGCAAAAACATTCCCATTATTTTATAGCTTTGCTATCTCCCTTTTAGCTGTCTGCAGCTTTTTTAGAACTCCTTTAGTTAGTTTAGTTTCCATACACATATCTGAGAAGTTCTGCAGACTTCTGACTTCGTGGGTAGTGTTTCTTTGAGATGCAGTTTCTTTGTATGGATAGTCTCAGTTTAAATGGGAAGTTTGGATCTGTTCCTGTTAGAGTGTCTTAAATGGAGTTCTACTAATTCAAAGGTGGCTTTAACTAACAAATTACTCCAGATTTAAGTGGATTTAACAAAGAAAAAATAGGTCTCCATTTTATACTGGCATTTTGTTGTCATTGTTATTAATAGTACTGGTTAGATTTGTGTTTACATTACAGTGACATTAAAGCACCTCCTACAGAGTGGGTGTTGTTGTACAAAGCACTTCAGCTTAGTATAGAGAAATAGTTTCGATATCAACAAGTTTCTAGTCTGAGAGACATGCTCTTATTTCCAGACAGGCCTTAATGAGTGTGGGAGTCTGGAAACTCCTGGAGTTCATGTCCTCAGATTCAGTTTAATTTAAAGCATTTAACTTGTTTTATTATTATTTATTTTCAAACTATGTTTTTAATTTTCTTGCAGCAGAAGTTTTTGATCACCTTCTTTTCCTAAACTGAATAATCTTTTTTCCAAAATTTGAGAATTTGTCTGCAGACCAGAACACTTCTGATTCCCAACAATCAAAACGCAGTGTTCTAAACAAAAAAGTAACCTGCCAGATAATAGGATAAGAAAATTGGTTTTAATAAAATCATAATTTCTATGACATTTTCTATCAAAAGAAACTTTATCAAAATAGCTTCAATGAAACATTTTTGGTCAGTTACAGAAATAAGGTATAGGAATAGTTATGCAGTCTCCTGAACAAGTTTCATCCTGGAAATTATTTCACCCTATATATTCCCAAAAGAGTTTAACAATATCATCCACTAGCCAGCTCATCAGTGTAAACCTTTCTCTATTTATACAGGACCATTCAGCACTTCTGAAAGCATTCCAAGAAGGGGATGCACCTACAGACAAACGTCTAGCAGCCTATCTCATACTGATGAAAAATCCTTCCCCAAGTGATCTCACAAAGATTTTGAGAGTCCTCACAAAGGAGAAGAACGAGCAAGTGAAAAGCTTTATTGCCTCACACATTGCCAACATCCTAGAATCTGAAGAAGTAGGCATTGAAGGGTAAGTAAAATTTAGTTATATACTCGTGTCCTAGGAAGAACAAAGTTCTGACTGTAACTGCAGTAGTAGTGCATTTTTTCCTTGGTTCTTTTTGTTTGCTTGTTTGTTGTCTTTGTTTGAACAAGCACATTAGCTGAGTAAAACTATGTCTCTGTGAGAGCAGTGCCAGGTTAGAGTCTTTCCCTCAAGTCTTATTTTTACTGTTAATATGTGCAGAGAGCTAGCCATTACAGTCACCTCAGTTGTATGAGTGTCTGCAAGTGCCACAAGAAATCCCTCAACTAAGACTGAGTTTTTGGAATTTATGCTAATCATACTTGCATTGCTATCCTCTTTCCTAGTCTAAAAAGCCAAGTTGAAGAAGCTCTGAAAGGAAACCATGTTCCAACAGCCAAAGATTTCAGAAAATTCTCACAAAATTATCAGATTTCCAAAACAGTTTCTGTACCTGGAATTGATCCCATCTCTGCCAAAGTAGAAGGAAATATCATGTTTGATCCAAACGGCTATGTTCCTAAAGAGACTATGCTAAAAACCACCCTGAATGTTTATGGATTTGCCCCAAGCGATATCTTTGAGGTACAGCAATTATCAAAATCTTTTGCTAGTATTCAGATGTTTTCTTTCTCATTTCTGTTTTCTTATAACTGCTTTCTCTGAAAAATGTATTGTTTTTACAAGCTTTGGGAGAAATCTAAAGATCACTATGCTTACAAGGGGATTTACTTTCATTTGGTCTCAATGGGCTTTAGAGCAAGCCATCCGTTATGTGATGTCACTTGCCACTGACTGGATGGCCGACCCTGTTGGAGTTATTAAAGGCCTCAGCTAGGGTGAAATGAACCCAGCTGTAACAAACTGACTTCATGCTAATGAATCATTACTGGCACACTGAAGTACTCATGGTAGATTTTAAGTGAGATACAGCCTATGTGTCGTTTTTCAGTTGGACCTCACCACAGAGATAAAATTAATTGTAAGTCCTAGTATTCCGTATCTTCCCTTAAGAATCATAGACTTGTAGGATACACTTTAAATGCATTGTTTGTTCCCCAGAAAGTCTGTTTGTTGTAAACTCCAAAGCAGCAAGGAAACAGTCTCTAGTTGTTGTATTGTCCTGGTTCATTTCAGCTTGGCTTGGATGGAAAAGGGTTTGAACCAACACTGGAAGCTTTGTTTGGAGAGAAGGGATTTTTCCCAGACACGGCGAGCAAGGCCTTGTACTGGGTTAATGGCAGAGTGCCAGAGAAGGTTTCCAAGGTGCTTTTCGACTATTTTGGTTACTCCCAGGATGCCAAGCAGGATCAGGTACGGCTTGAAAACATTCTCTGCGCAGCACAGCATTCCTGTCTTTACACGATAATTGCAGCAATTCCCTCTTTATTATATGTAAGCCTTCTCCTCTTTTGGTAAGCTAAAATAGAAATCCTTAATGCTGTTTAGCCATTTTTTTTTTTAATTGTATGTGGGAGGGGCCTGTTGTCTGGAGGCAAATCTGTAAGAATTGTCAGATTAGCTGATGTACATTAAGTAAGTGTTTTAGATAGATGTTCTTACAGATTTCTCATAAATCCATTTTACTACTTTCTGACTGTATTTTCAGGATATCATGAAAGGAATAATGCTTAACCTTGAAAAATTGATAAAATAATTCAGAATCCTGGAAGAAGAACTTGGGTACATGAAACTCAATGATTTCAAATTGCTGGGAAGCATGGTTTTAAAGAGCATTAAAACTCTTCAGGCTATTCCCGAAATGGTATGTTTCTGATGCACCAATGTGTATTACTAATTTGTGTATTACTAATTTGAAGTTTTTCTACAGGATTTTTTTAAAATTTAGGTTGTGTTTATCTATGATGCAAAGAATGGTTATTCAAGACCAGCATGAAAATAAAACTGTTTAAACTAAAATGTCTAGGTTTAGTCTGAAGGACTCTGAGAAAACCATGAAGACTCCTCAATAACCAAGTGAGTCCTCCTGGAAGATGGGTGAAGGGAAGCGAAAAGGGAAGGTTCAGATCTTATTGTATGATTGAGATATCAGTGGAACAATGCTCAAAATCTTAGTGTTGGCCATTTCTAATTATTGAAATATATATTACTATTAAGCAATAATTTGTCATGTTAAAAAGAAAAGAACAGGTAGTACAGTTTGGGAAGTAAAACCCTTCTGTAATTGAAGTAAAAAAAAACACTTTGCCATTGACTTGGAGGAAGCCAGAATGTCACATACTGTCTAAATCAATTCACTTTTGTGTGTGTATGTCAAGGTAGATAATCTGTGTGTATCAAGGCAGGTGATAAAATCTAGTATTCGTTTAAAGATGAGATTTTGATAAACAGTCTTTAGTACATTTTTTGAAGCAAGGAATCTGTAGAAATTAGTTTCCATACTCTACATGAAATTAATTTTTGGATTAGACAGTTACAGTCATTCCATGATCAAGTTTTAAAGTATTCCAAAGTGCAGATTTGTTAGTGTTCATTTTGTTGTTTGGTTCACAGGTTGCACAAGCCATCTCAAAAGGTGTTGACAGGGATTTATTTGTCCACTACATGTTCATGGACAATGAGTTTGAGCTCCCAACTGGAGCAGGTTTGCAGCTGAAGTTTGCCTTGTCTGGAATAGTGACACCTGGAGCCAAAGTAGCTTTGAAGCTTCATCAGAAAAGCGTAAGTCCCAACAGCAGTCTATATTTTCTCTCCTCCTAATAATCTGCAATCTTATCTAGGGAAAAAAAAAACTATAACACCAGAAGAATTTTAAAAAGTACAAAATACTCTTGAAATTCCTAAAACAACTCACTAATTAGAGGTCTCCAGTTAATTTGTGGATGACATTTACTTAAAAGTAAGAAGTAATACATACAATAAATTATGAGACATAATAAAATTTATGAATTAAAAGTATCTTAATCACCCTTTCAAAAATAATCCTTTTAATCTCTGTTTAGTTCTCTCTCCATGCTCTCAGATGAGAATAATACAAAAGCTACAGCATGTGAATTTGCTGTTCAAACTAAACAGTTAATAAAAAATTTTGATGTGGCCAATCAAAAGTGAAAATTTTTATTTTGATTTAAAAGAAATATTGAAAATTGAGTTAAATGAAACATTTTTTGATCTGAAAGGAAACATTTTAAAATTGTAACAGTTAAATAGCATGTGACAGAAAATTAATTATCTGGTTAAAATTTAAAAAATTAAATTAAATATTTCCATTGTTTTTTCCAGTATTAGTAACTATTTTGCTCTAATTTAGTTACTATTTTGTATAAATTTCTGTATAGTTTCAGTTCACTGAAACTTTTAATTTTCCACCATGTACATGATTTAAGTAAAAATAAAAAAATACGTCCTCAAATTTAGTACTGCTTGCATTTTTAGTTCCCTTTGGGCTCTTTTTGAGAATTTTGCATTCTGTCCCTTCTTTCTGTAATGGCCAAACCAAAAGCTTGAAAATAAGCTCTTTCCTGTTTAGAGAAATTAAAATCTTGGACTGATTTCTTTTTTGTCAAATAGTTTACTCATTGTTTTTGCAAATTGCTATTTTACAATGGAAAACTGGCTCTTGTCTTCAGTTTTAAAAATACATGCAAGTAGCACCATGTACAAAACCTTTCTGAAGCATGAGTATTTTTACATTAAAGTAGGTAAGGTTCCTTGGTGCCATCATCTTGCTGTATTTGTTACATTACAGTTACCACTTGTGGTCCCTCTGCCTGTGTGAGTTGGGAATCAAATTTTTTGAATAGCAGAATCAATTATAGAAACCTACCTCTAGATTATCAAGAATATTGCATTTTTTTTTATAAAACCAGTAAGAAGTGTGTTGGGCAAATAAATATACTGTTTTGTTTTCATTAAATAGATGCAAGCAGAACTCATTGCTAAACCTTCAGTAGCAATTGAATTTGTAACACACCTGGGAATAAACATGCCTGAATTTGCTAGAAGTGGCGTGGAGGTGAATTCTAATATATTCCATGAGTCTGGAATTGAAGCACATGTTAGTATGAAAGCCGGACAGCTGAAATTCAGCAGTCCTGCTCCAAAGACTCCAACAAAGCTCCTCAGTATCAGGTAATGAGAACTGAATAAGAAATTTCAAGGTGATGTTCTTCTCTTCTCTTCTTGATTTTTATTGTGATGGAATTGAGACACTAGGTCAGGTATGCAGAAATTCTAATTTCAGAAAAATCCCAGGCATTATGAAACTGAGATAACTTCTTTTGTAAGATAAGCAAATAGCCCAGATAAGTGGTGACTGTGAGTCAAGGCTTACAGATTCTTTAATTTATCACTATTTTCTGAATTTTTCGACAAGACTCTCACCATTTCTATTATTTTGTTTTCTTTCTTGTAAAATTATTATAGTAACAAAGCCTATTTTTAGACCGAATTTAAATGAATACTTGCATTAGTTTTAGAGAAGGTAAATGGCTCAATACACAGAATTATAATTATCAATAACAATATTTATAGTGATAAATCACTTGATCATTTAACTACTAAATATTATTTCATTAAGCCCCTACCTTAATAAATCACTTTTATTCAGAAAGTAGCATTGTTAGTAGGACAATGTCTGAACACCTGTCCTGGGAATAAAAGGCTCACTTTTCTGTTCCAGCAATACGCTACACTTGGTGTCTCCAGCCAAAACTGAAGAGATTCCACCTCTGATTGAGAACCGAGAAACCTGGACTTCTTGCAAGCCTTTCATTGCTGGTCTAAATTTCTGCACTAAATTATTGTACTCTAATGCCAGTGCCACAGAGTCAGCTCCATATTATCCCTTGACTGGAGAATCCAGGTAAGTCCTATCAGATTTAACTATGTTTATTTTGTGTTAACTAACCTTCCATCTTAGGGGTTCGTATCTACAGTACCCTCTCACATAAAGCTTATCTTTAAGAATCTTTAAAAATAGACTAGCAGGAGCGGCTTAGAGCTATTGAGAACTGTAAGATTTCTGCTATTTGTGTTCATGGACAAAATAATTATTTACGAGAAGTTTGTTTACTCCTTCTTTAGATTTGAAGTTGAAGTAGTGTCCACAGGTGAAGTGAAGGAATACTCTGCAAGTGCAAACTATGACCTGCAGAGAGAGGGAAATGACCTGATAGACACGTTAAAGTTTGCTGTCCAGGCAGAAGGTAAGAGTTTGAAAAAGCAGTGTGGTTTAGCTCAGTTTTAGACTGTGTCATTTGATGGGAATAAGATTTGTATGAATAAATTATAACAGAATTCTTTAGAGTATAAAACAGAATTTTCACACCCAAACAGGTGAACACTTTAACTCGCATTTCATGTATACAATCCCAGTGCAAGTTTTTCATGATCAGAAGCTGATTATTTTAACCCAAAAACACTTCCCTTGATTTAAACAGAAGTGTTATGTTGATGAATGGAAGCAAGGAAGAGGAGAAGTTAATGAGTTCTATATAAGCAAGAGAATAATACCATTTCTGATGAAATATGGAAGTAAAGTATACAAATTGAGAATAAGTGCATGAACATCAATTTTTTTCAAAGGGAGAATCTGTGTGACGACAAGTTTATGTAATAAAAGTAGTGACATGATTAGTGGATCAGCCCATGGTGGGTTTAGATGAGGAGAAAAAAGATGACCCAGTTACTGATTCAGACTCATCAAAGCTTGTGTTAGATCTTCAGGGTGATATAATTTCCAGTTGATCCTTTTTATTCTCCTTTTAAGAAAAGTCCAAACAAATTCCATAGTTTCAAAGAACCTAAGTACATTATATTTTCCAGGTGTAAAGCAGCATGAGGCCACATTGACCTTCAGGTACAACAGAGACAGAAAGACTTTGACCAGTGATGTCCACATTCCAGATGTTGATGTTGACTTTGGTACAAACTTCAGAATTACTGGTGAATCCATTTCTGGGAAGAAAGCATATACCTTTGTCTTAGACTTTAACAACAAGAAGATTTCTGAAGTTACTCTTACTGGCCAGATCAGGTAACTCAGAAAGACGCTTAGACTTTTACAGATATCTTTGAATAAGATAGCTGAAGGTTTTATTTAAGGTAGAAAATTTTGGGAAATTCTATCCCATTTTGGAGAAAATGCTTATATAGAGAGACATATAAACTTGTCATTCAAACCCTCTTTAAGAACCCTTGAAATACTTTACTTGTAATCCATCACATATACATCAAATAAATACATCTAATACATCAACTGATCTTTCCTACTATATGAATATATATAGTTTGTATTACAGGTTCCTTGAGTTAGTTCTTCCCTGTTTGCACACACATGACTACAAAAATGACGTTGTAGTAGTGTTATTGCAGGTGTGATAATCCAAGGATATAAACAAGGCAAGGCTTGTTCGGAGAAGTATTATCTTTTTAGTATAACAAAAAGTTATTACATCTCCCCGTGAAGAAATCTAATGGCACTCAATAAGCAACAAAACCAAAAATAACTGAGAGCTTCCTGTAAAAATTCCCACGCTTCATGATGAGAATATTTCCGGGAACATCTACAGGGGAGCTAACAAAAATGTTCAGCCTGCCAGGGTTTCTAAAACTGCCTCACAAGCCTATAGTGAAATGAGCTGATCCCATTCTTTAATAAACCTCAGTCTTCCATGGAATTGTGTGATCTTGATGGTGCCCCGGGGAGTCTTTGTCTTTGCTGTTCATGCAGAATTGCCTCTGATATCAGTGGGAGCTTTGGACAGATATCAGGGACCTGAATTCCCTTTGATTTGCACTAACATAATATTAGAAGTTTGCTCAAGTCAACAAAGTTGCAGAGATATAAAATAAATGTGAATAAAGGAAAATGAAGCCCCATGGCATAATATGTTTCATCAAGTGTTTTGTTTCTGTGTGATTCGTGGTCAGAGGCCGTATCCTTAGTAGGCAATTCAGCTTGAGCCAGTAGTTCAGAATTTGGTTCAGGTACAACTTTACCAAGACAGGTATATATTTTCATCCATTTCAGTATTATGAAATTAATACAGAATTATTATTGTGTGCATCTGTGCACGTTATAATAATTTACCATAGATTTCCCAAAGTAACTAGCAGAAGCTGAAAACATTCATTGAATTGGAACAAATTTACAAGCTTGATTCAATCTATTTTTTTATAGTATCTATTATGCCTTTACTGTAGATTTAAATGCTGAAATTTCTCCTGAAACATAAGTGAAAAAGTAGAGTGAGATGTTTTGTATTCACATTTACTTTCTGCTGTCACAGATACGCTGGAATAGAAGAGGCAATGTTAAGGGGCACCATTTCTATTCCTCCCCTGCAAACTGAACTTAGAACTGAAGCAAAGGTTAATTATTCACCAACTGAAGGATATCTTCAGCTGAGCTCAGCTGCAACAACTCATGGAAACTCAATTTCAGAAAGACTTCTTGTCAGATATGGTAGGGGCAAAAACGTGATCCACACATACATCCTATGAATTTAAACATCTTATTGCATTAGTTTGTAGTATATCCCTAAATAGAATAAGCATATTACTAATTTTACCCATTTCTTTTAAATTCATGTTTTTCAGATTCTGAGAAAGTTGAGCTAGAGTGGCGTTCAGGTGCCAGTGCTGCTGTGAAAAAAATGTCTTCTGGCTTTGCAGTTGACTTTTCAGACTACTCAAAACCTTTAGAGAAGCATGCCAATGAACTGCTGGATCAGAAGGTGGCTCATACTAATATGACACTGCGACATATTGTGTCACAATTTATTGTGGTATGTTTCAGCCTACAGTAGATATTACAGCTTGACCACATAGCTCTCGTGAATTCTCACCTCCCCCATGGGTGTCAAAATGGCAACTACTTGTAAGAGCATTCATCAGATTGAATAAGATGTATATTTCCAACTTCGATTGAACCAGTCACTTTATCAGATGCGTAGTGCTCAGTATATGGATAGCTACAATGGCTTTCAGATAACTTCCTGGGAAGTCCTAAAACTTGTTATTTACTTTGAAAGTCTTGTCTCCTCATTGCAGGCAACCAACACCTGGCTGCAAAAGGCATCAAGAGATGTCCCCTATGCCCAGATTCTGCAAGACAAACTAAGTGGACTGCAGGAACTGAACATTCAGAAAATTAACCTGCCTGTTATCACCATTCCTGAAGAACTCTTCCTGAAAAGGTAGGGAGATAAATTAGGATAGTCACACAGGAAACTGAAAATAGGTATTTATTCGTATTTTTGTGTTATTTTAATTTACTTTGTTTTATAAAACAGCATGGAATTGCTATAAATATTAGCTTAAAATTGGAATCATAACCAAGAATTTTAAGACCAGAGACATGAAATTATATGGAGGAAATGATGCATGTCTTTAATACAGATTTGACTTTACAGCAGTCACTCCTGCAGTATACGAATATATCCTG